CATCACGACTGCATCGTCCTCCTCCTCCTCCTGTCCTCCTTCACCCTCGTCCTCCCATCATTTTGTCCTCCACCCACCCCCTTCATCAATTGCAGGCAGCCATTGACGAGGCTCGCTCGGCAACCGTTTCCGAGGCTGTCGATCGATTCGCAGCCGCCGTCGGCAGGACTCTGCCAGCAGAAGCTGCAACTCTCCTCCTCATCCTCCACCCTCTCCTCTTCCTCTTTTTTTTTCAAGCCACTGCGTCAAAGTAAAAAAAAGAAGCCATTGTACAGGGTGGGGTGAAGGCGCCGAGAGGTGGGAATGTTCCCACAAAGGGAAGCGTGCGATTGGTGAAGCGAGACGCCAGTCACAGCTAGCTGGTCGCTGATAGGTGAGGAGAGCGGGGCGGCGATGAATATGGATGAGGGAGCGATGAAAGGGCCGATGCAGCGAGGACGAGTGGATGGGCCCCCTCCTCTGAAATAGCCTTGGTCCATGAACAATACTCACCGGTTTTCACACAAACACACACACACACATACACACACACACACACACACACAGTGAAGGCAGAAAGGAAAAGGAGGCGGCTGCTTCAGTATCTTTGTTAGCGTAGTCGCTGTGTCTGCTTCGATTTCTACGCAGACGCCCTGATGATAGGGATCGTTTCAGTACGGAGGCATTTGATTGGTTCTCCCTGAACTTCTATTCAGACTGAATTTGTGTGTTGTTCTTCTAACACATTACTCTGCTGGCTCGCTGTTTCTTGATCAGCAGAATGGGACATTCTCTCGTCTGTTACCGAACATGAATTTAATTTCCTTTAAAACTTTTTTTCTAGCTCCCATGTTTTAGAATCCCATCATTTATTACGATTTTTTTTTCTGCAAAATAACAGGAGCCACTTATTATTTTTCTATAAAGAACTGGCATCATTTTAAAATTGAAATATCCTCCATTTTAAAACACACAGAATGATTGTTGACATGAAAATAAAACACAGCATTAAATGCTGCGGGTGTTGTGAGTCATCTTGGTACCTTTAAGAGAAAATAAAAGCTGTTTTTAAGGACATGCTCATCTGTTACTTGATGATACGGACTTCAAAATTCAGATAAAAAAGACCTTTCTAAATGTAGACCTGCAGCATTTAGTAATGAAATCACTCAGCAGCACTGTGAGGCAGGTTCTCGGACGGCATCTATATCTGGGAATTCAAGCTTTAAGAAACTCCCTGCCTCATTTCTTCTCCAAATATTTGATTATTGAAAGAGTCGCAGGAATTTGAAGGACCTTATGGCGGCCGCTGCCAGCATCCGAATCTAGTGATTAAGAAACTGGAGCTCCCTCTGCACACTGAGAGGCATCACCTTAAATGTCAAATCTAAATTGAATGGATGACATGGAGAAAAAAGGGAAACATTCAGACGCTGCGAGGAGAACGATGAAGATAGAGAGATTTTTCCTCTGCGAACTCTGTGTGTTTATGAGGGACGACGACCGTCTTTCAGACTGAAGACAGCTGGTCAGAGCCTCACTGCAGGAGAGCTTTACATGTTTGTGCGTGTGTTTGTGTGTGTGTGCGTGTGTGTGTGTGAATGCCACCCCCCAACAAAAGAGCAGAGAGGGTGTGTTAGACAAAGCCTGCCCCCCCCCCCCCCCCCAACCCCCCTTAACTCTCCCTGCTTAGGGGAGATGAATATTTTCCAAGTCCCCAGAGCTCCATACCAGAGCCCTCCTTCATCAGCCGAGGCCGGGTGTGCACGCTGCTACACCTCAGGCTCTGCCTCTCATGTGGGTCTGACATCTGATGTTTTCACACAAAGTTGCATGAGATCCTGGTCTGGACTGCATGTGTACATGTGACCTACATTTGTGATATATTTAGAATGAAACCCCGTATTTGGAGCTGATTTCTGGAAGCTGTCGTTATCCTACAGGTTTTCAGATATTTGGTCTTAGAGTGGGAAACATTCAGAGCAGCGTTGAACTGTAAAACTATCCCCTGAAATCCAGATGCTTTGTTGTTTTGATGCTTGTGTAAATTATTCTTAAATGGTTCACATACAAAACCAACGTGATTTGTACTACTTATGATAGAAACAGAATCTCCAGTTTATCAGATGTTTCTATAATGACAGTGCTGTGTCCTTTGAGGGAATGAGAACAAGGCAATGTCATACATTTTTCATGGGGGGGAGGGGGTTCGCTAGGGGACAGAATTGCCTCTAAAATTCCTCTAGAAAAAGCCAAACAACTGCTGAGCACTACAGAAGAGTCTAGAATCCATTGACAGTATTATAAAAGGTAACGTGGGGTGCGTTCATAAGAGTTAAGCGTGTGAGGGAAATGTAACAGAACATTAGAAAGGATTTGTGATCTTCAACCCCCCCCCCCCCCCCTCAAACCCCCCCACCCCCTGCGGGCCCGTGGACACCAGATCCCAGGATTTGAGCCTCCAATCCCCCAGCATGGAGAGCCTATTCTGGGCCTGGCGGGTCCGCAGGGGCCTTAGCAACAGATTGGACTGTTTACTCATCCAGTTCTGTCGGAGAGGACGATTTATTATTTATTGTGAACAACCTCTACGTCTCCAACAGCACTCCCGATTTCACCCCCCTTTCTTTCTTGACCCACAGATGAACATAGGACACACAGTTTGATAAACTTATGAAGACATTGGTTCTCATAACATGCAAACACACACACACACACACACACATACACACACACACACACACACACACACACAGCTGGGTGCAGAGCAGTTACACTGTAGGCACACGGAGGCCACTCTGACCTTGCTGCTTGTGCTGTTAGCTCCCTTCAAAACAGAGTTTCTGGGAGTGGTGGCTTGGCCGTATTTTTATTACACACACACACACACACACGCACACACACACACACGCTTCACAAAGCAGATACACAGAAAAAGACAAATTTTTCTGTCAAATTCTTTTGACATGTAAAAGGAAATGTGTGCACTTCCTGTGTGTGTCGTAACTGCAGGGATTTGAGTGTGTTCCTTAGAGGAGTGAAAACAAAGACTCTCATCACAGCAACCACTATCTACAAACACACTCAAACACACACACACACACACACACACACACACACACACACACACACACATTACCATTACCTGCTCTGTTTGAACGTGTGGCTAATCCCTCCATTTTCTATCCTTGAATTTCTTTATTCTTGAGCTGTGTCTCTGTGTGTTTGTGGTTTGTGTTGTGGGAGTGCTGAGGTTCGATAAGACCGCTGGAAGCTCGCCAGTTTACATCAGCTCAGAAAGCTAAGACAGTGAAAGAACTCCGTACCGCGCTTCACACAAAAGTAAGCCGGAACACAATAAACATGACATTAAAGGGACGTTATTGGCATCTATTTTAAAGCAGCTTTGAGTGAGGGAATTAACTGGCCCCTGTTTAGCTGGTGCACTGGTGAAACAGAGCACATGTAGTCCCTACATGTTGTTATAAATTAGGTTAAGATCTTTGATGACATAACGTAACCTCTGGCAGCCATTTTGGAGGTCTTCAGCTGCGAGGGGAAAAGTGTCTGTGAGCAGCTGAATGTGGGTCTGAGAGTCAGACTTCTTTTATGTAGTTTGATTTTATTTGGAATTGAGCTCTGAAAGTAGAGCCTGACCTATTTATCGCCTGGGCCGACACTATCAGCCAGTGTTAGTTTATCACGGACGTATTGTATTGGCATGTGCAGTAGGGCTGAACGATATGCAAGAAAAATCGTATCGCGATTATTTTCAGAAAGTGATTCCTCTCTTGGGAAGGAGCTTTTAGAGTAGACAACTCTTAGGCCTTTACTTCAAACATGTCTGAACTTATTATTCATAGCTTGCGCAATAGCCTGAGCGTCTCTTCATGACATTAAGGTAATTACTGTATCCTAAAGTACAAGTGCATCCTTTTAGGAAGCCCACAAAAATACTCCCTCCACACTTTCTGACAGCTAAAACAGTGAGAACTAATCAGTAACAATCACCACATCTGTAATTATGGTGTTTTTCTTGTTCGTATTTGGACTGAAAGTTTACATGCTCATTATGCTGTCAGCATGAAAGAGACGCTGCACACAGGGGGTGGGGGGCGGTGTGTGTGTCTGTGGGGGGGGGGCCTGAGACGCTGGATCTTTGATGATGCTTCATATCAACAAGTGCAGGAAATAGCAGCAGAGAACAATGAATCTGACATCGTGCTGAGACATCAGGTTCTCTCAGCACACTTCCACCAAGCAGCAGTGTGTTATTTGTGTTGTTTTAACAGCCTGAGTGGCCTTGAACCTCAGTAGATGTGTCTGGTTTGTGTTCGGGTCGACCTCTCATATCTCCAGTGTGAAAGCTCATTTTGAAGTTGATTTAATTGGTGCACCAGTGAACCGATGAGCATTTGTTTCTGGATTCCTATAAAACTGAGCTTTATTTTTTTTTTTTTATCACCAGAACTCTTTTTGTTCATCTTTTTTTTCTCCTAAGAATAAATTATTTCGAGTCACCCCGAGACATTTTGCTCAAACACCCACGAGTGGAGAAGTTTTTTTACCAGCACTTTTTAATTCGCTGAGCTGTGAGAGGGAATGATGTGTGGGTGAGCGTTACGTGACCTCTATCGGATTTTCAGGTTAGTGTTGACACCAACGGGTCAGACGAGGCTAGCAGAGCCTCCGGCTGCTTATTATGCTCGCATAGGTCGGCACGCAGGAGTGTATCACCTGCACCCCTTGGAGGTGGGATGACACGCGGAAGCGAGCGTGGTGTATAATTACACATAATTAGGATTCGCAACTGTGACAGGTAGATAAATGAGGCTTGGCTTTTTCCAAAACTGTGGGAAAAATACAACCAAATTGTGGCCTTTGTGGGGCGGGGGTTCACACTGGATCAGGATGGCATGAGTGACATGAGTGGCAGGATAATTTCACAAAATTAGGATTCACCTCTGTGCTCTCTGCAGGGAGGTCGAGGGGGTTACAACCGGGGTGAAATAGTGAACAAGATCTCTCAAATAAGAAAGCATTGTTGCTCCTGAACGCTACATTCATGTTAGAAAACCTAAAAATGTATCGGTTGATGTTACAGAAACATCCATTATATTTAATTCATGAACTGTTCTGTAACATTAGCCCTTTCCATATAGACTCACAAAACTGTTCAAATCAAGCAGCTAATCGTGATTGGTTCTGATTCATTCAATCGTTCATTCAATATCCACGCCGCTTATCCTTATAGGGTCGCGGGGGGAGCAACCCCAGCTGGCAATGGGCGAGGGCGGGGTACACCCTGGACAGGTCGCTGGTCCAGCACAGGGCCGACATGTAGAGACAGACCATTCATGCTCACATTCACACCTACAGGCAGTGTTAGAGTCGCTGATTAAACTAACCTGCATTGTGTATGGACAGTGGGAACCCACACAGGCACAAGGAGAACATGCAAACTCCAAGTTTGTACTCCTGAAGTTCTGATTCATCATTATGTTATCATGCTTTTTATTTTTTGACTTGTCAAAAACCACACATTTGGTGGGAAAGATCACATGAAGCATTTTTAGCAAACCTGTTTGTACCAAAGTCAAAACATCACATCTTTAAGTACAAAGCAGAGTTTCTGCTCATGTGATATTGTAAGATATCCAAGAGGATCTTTAATGTCACACACAGAGAGCTTTTACTTTGAAAACAGAAAGCGCTTTGAAAAGAGCTCAACTTAAAGATGTATAAGTTTTCAGACGTTTGTGGACTGTTATATGTCAGAGGTTTTTAGAAAGAGCAGATAGAGCCGATAAAACCTGAGGAATGTTGATAAAAACTTGCCTGTACAACTTGCCTGCACGAGGCAGTGTGGGAGGATGAGGCAGATAGCACAGCACAGTTTTTAAGCTTTTTTTTTTTTTCTCATATCTGGAAGTTAGTGCATATTTATGAAAATTGAGTCATGGCAGTTATCAAACTGGCTAAAAGCTTATTTCCAAAGTGTAATTCAATCTGTGTTACATAACCCTGTTAGCAAACTCACCACTGGAGCTCTGCAGCGACGTTTAATGATACAGATGAGCTGTTGACTCGGTGGGTATGGAATCTCACAGGCTCGTGCGTAAACATCTGCATTGAGTTTGTGTTTTAAACGGCTTCCAAGTGTGTAAAACTGCTGTTTTTCAGAGATATATACATAGTACAGTGTTCACAAAATATATTTTTAAGAAAAACAATTGGTCAGGATGTAAAATGTAGAGGAGCAGGTCTGTTTGAAGTGTTGTCACAGGTGCACAGGATGCAGGTTATCTTTATCTTTAGTAAAAAAAAAAATGTAAGTTTGATTCAAATCTTGTTCTTGGACATGATCCATGCTGCACATATAAATATATTTTTTAATGCTTACCATGGTAACCTGTACAAGTGTAACCGTGCAACAGATGCAAGTGATGAACATGAGTCACTCATTACATCCTCTTATATACATGAGTCATGTTGCCAAGGTGTGTAGGCTTGTTTATGAGACGTCGGAAACGGTCTGTTTGTGGAGGAGGTGTTTGTGAGTGTGTGTGTGTGTGTGCTTGTATCTGTTTTGTGCTGCAGACACGCTTTTGTGTTTGTGTGTGCATGCATGGGTGTGTGTGTGTGTGTGTGTGTGTGTGTCTGTGTGGTTCGTATTTACCAATTCCCCTGCCTTATTAATACAGGCTGGTTATAATTAGCCTCTATCTAAAGCAGGTCAGTCCACGGCTTCGTACTTAAAGTGGGTCACTGCAGCACAGAGAGGAGAGGAGAGGAGAGGAGAGGAGAAGAGGAGAAAATGGGAGGTGACTAGGATTAGAAAGGAAAGGAAACGAGGAAAGAGGAAAGAAAAGAGGAGGAGACGAGAAAGGTAACGAGGAGGGGACAGGCGACAGTTTCAGGCCACGACCATGAGAAATCTTTTTTTGAGCTCAAAAACAAGGTGCTGCTGTGATCTTTGTAAATATCAGAGTGAGCCAGAACTCAATCTGCACGATAAATGTTACATCATACTGTTTGTGAGGTATTAGCAATAGCCGGCGTGCCTGAGGTTCCCAAGATAAGGCTGGTGTTACTGGAACGAAAAAACATAAATACGGATGGGAAAACTTTACAGAATAAAGTTTGTCATGAGGAAGCTGTGAGAGAGGTTGGTGACGTGCCGCAGTGCAGCTGAAGTTTGACTCAAAGCGCCCAGGGCTGTGCCCCAGAATATGCCACATTCAAAACACAAGGTTTACAGGAGAAGCATCCAAACAAACCGCTGAAAATAACTCAAAAGAGAGATGCAGCACATTCAGCAAACACAAACCCAATATAACAACCAAAATATAAATTTCCCCAGCTAAAGTTCACCTGAAATTCAGTGTCGAAACCAAGAGGGTGGAGGAAACTAACAGTATGAAGTCTCCTTACCGAACAGCATTAGCCTACAGCTATCGTAGCTAGTGTGCTAGTCTGCTGACCCTCCAGCATCAGGGGTCACGAATACATCAAGTTTGTCTGCCAGGTTTTGGTATTTTTCAGCAGCATCTGATGTTTCTAGAACAAAACCTTCAGTCAGAGTGGAGAAGAGACCAGGACAAGATGGAGAGAAGGATCAAGCAGGTAGATGATAGAAGGATGGCAGGACCTAAAGAGGAGTAAAAAGGGGAGGAGTGACGGCTTAAGAGAAAATCATCATCATGGAGGTGTTTTTCGTTTTGCAAAAATAAATTTGGAGCTGCGGTTGTCCGAGGGGAAACCACCTTTAACTTAACACAAATCACAAATTAAACTCACTGAAAACACTTTGCCTGCTAATGCACGTCAGGGAATTCAGATTAACGCAAGCTTTTAACAAAGGAGGCTAAATCTTCTCGGACGAATGAAAAAAGTGTGTAAACCGAGGTCAGGTTTGGTTTTTCTCTCCTCCACATCCATGTTGGAGCTCCCTGCAGTTTGTATTTCATCACTAGCAGAGCTGAGGAAGGGCAGGGGAGTGTCAGGTTTCCTGTCTGTGTGCTCATGCTTTGGCTTGGCTGAACACTCAGAGATGAGAACAGAGCCCACCCAGTATGTACAACTGAACACTCCACACCGCCCTTTACAAACTGAGACAGCCCAGAGCACAGGACTAAAGTTTGGTAGAAATGAAATGAGAGAAAAGAAGTTTCCTCTCATATAAGATTTTGTTCAGATTTACATTTTCAGTTTGCAGTATGTCTTCATTTTGAATAATCTTTATGAACTTGTTCTTTAAAGATCTTTAAAATGCTCCAGACCTCCTCAGAATTACACTGTACTCTGGGCTATAGGCATTTCTACTTATGCAACATTCAGTTAATGAAGTTTCTGACTTGTTCCACATTTAAATCCTGATTGTAAGTGGAGGTCTCTGAAAGCTCTCATATTTCTGACTGCTCATGAACACATCACACCAACTAAAGTCTGTTGTTCAATGCAGTCAAAGACAAGTCTAATGAACATACAGCCAAGTCCATTTTTATTTGTATAGTAGCAACTCACAAGCCTTTGTCAAGGCAGTAGTGCTATATAGTCAGTTCAGTGTTTTTAAACCACACACTGCCAGCTCTGCTAACACCTGTCTCATGGTGATGCACGTCATACACCTGGGAATACTCTCCACCTCTACCATCCATGCCATATGCCATGAGTGTGGAATTAGCCCAGTGGAGTGCAGTCTCACCCACACGCTCTAATCATCAAAAATAAGTTTGAAAAATGTGGGTGCAACACGGGAGTCTCCGGGCTTTAAGATCATTATTTTTATGGAAATTTTACATCCCTAGTGAATCTGAGGAAAATGTGGGGATTTTGAGGCACTATTTGATGGACAAAACCAGGAAAGTTTTATCAGTCTACAATGTGTTCACGGCCATGTTCAACCCATTCAGGTGTTTTCACCTGTCAGACGTCTTCTCAGGACTGTGTAGGTGTGTGTACAGACACCTGCCACACGCTCCATCTCCCTCTCTCTTTATGATTCATGGACTTCTGGGACCTAAGCAAGCTCCCAGCTATCTCTGCCAAACAACTGTACAATCTGAGCAGAAAACGACTGTGTGGGTGTGCAGGGCCGTTCACTAATTAAATTTATTTATAGTGAGGTGTCACAAACACCTCCTTTCCACTGTTGTTTTGCTGCAACGCAAGTGTTAATGGGATTTAAGGGGAGTTAAAGCTATTGAAAGGCTTTTAATAAAACTCAATTAAACTCTATGGGACCTGGTTGTACCTGATTTAAGATTTTTGTATGCATGTGCATTTCTACATTTGAGTGTCTCCAGTTGTTCGCCTGGGTAGCAGACAGAGAACACTGGTGTTACAAGGTGCCTCGCCTTGCTAAGAAAGTGTGCCCCTGTAATAATAATCCTATTTTAATCTGCCCCCTGAGGTTACATGTCCTGGATTATCAAATATGAAGAATGCTGCAAGGGAGGGAAGCTGAGACGAATCAGTGACAGCTTAAAGAGACACAACACGTATAAAGCTTTTGTTATTTCACAACCTCAGAAAGAAGATTTTGAAAGAATGAAATCTTAATCTTCTTTTTTAAACGTCATTTGATGATGTGAAGACTGAAGAGATTTTAGGGTTTTTTTTGGAGTTATGAGTCCTAATCAGATAAACTAACTGATGTAAAGGTGGAAGTTAAGGTGGTATTTGTCCTAAAATAGCTTCATAGGGAAAAAAAACAATGAAACAAATGATGAAGACTTAGGGCTGTAAGCAGAACAAACATTTTCAGTTTCTTCTCAAATGCTTCACAGTCAGAGGAGCAGCACGCTACAAACTAAAGGTCACAGGTTCAGTCCCGTCGTCGCTTCAGGTCGACTGAAGCTTCGCTCAGCGTCGCTGAATCTGTCCCCGCTCCCAACAAAATGATGAAAATGTGCTTTGACCTTTCGCTTTATTCCCTTTTGGCTTCTTTTTTTTTTCTCCACAAAAACTGAAGCAGAAATGTTGAAGCTGTTTTTTCTTCCCGCACTTTGGAGCGTCT